AACAAGGAGAATGAAACAGGCAGCGGCGAGGGTGGATATGAAATAGGGTGGAGTTTACAGGAGCGGAAGTAAATAGGGACGCGCAAAACAGGGTGGGAAATATATAGAGACGCTAACGTCTCTGGCGCTGACTGCCTGCTTCTCCGTTTATTTCACATCCGTACCACACTTGTTTTCCACCCGATTCCGAAAGATTTCGGATAAAGGATCACGGCACTATAAGGCCTGAAGGATTTCGGCATTGTTATAATTCCGAACGGTGACGGCTTTTGTCGATTGGCGAGCCGATGCATTTTTTGTTCCTTTTCGGATAGTGTTGGGTTATGTGATTGGACTGGTTGGGCGTCGAAGTAAATGTTGCACGAATTGCATTTATATGAATAACTTCGAAACCGTGGATAAAACACGAAAGTTGTTTTCTTTATAATTCAAAAAAAAAACTTTGACAAAACCACTGCTTTTAAAAACCTTGAATTGAATCATTCCATTTAAGATTTTTAAAAGAAAAGTGAACACTAAAGTGACATGGTTTGCCAAATTTCATCAAACGAAAACCCTTTAGTAAAACGAAAGTTCGCTTCTCCCTTATTCTGAAAAAAAAAAACACATTGGTTTTGTTATCGCAACAGTATATTTTTTATTATCCATTTAAGGAAATTCTCTAGAAAAATATACTATATTGTCGACCGTATGAAATGAGAGAGAAATATAAATTTCGCATAAATTAGGGAAAAATTGGTATTGCAAAACAAGTTTTTGTATTTAATATTTGCAAGCCGTTAAGTTGTTAAATTATTAACAAGTTTACATGTTGCGTGTGAATACAAACAAAAGTGAATGTGTGCAACGCAGGGAAGCAAACCGTTTTAAAAATACGCATGCACGGCAAACGTAAGTTTATTTTAATAGACGAAGGATAACAGAAAGATCATTAATTTACTTAACTCCAACAGCAAGAGTTATGCCGTCATATGCGTGCCGAGGTACCACTCGGCCCACCAACTATAAGAAAATCCTTAAATTTTAAGTTTAAATGAAATAAAAGCTATACAATATAAAAAAGTTATTATCGAATAAAATTAAAATAAAGCACGGAAAGAATTTCTTAAAAAACATACGTCAACTTTTAGCTGCAGATTCGTCATCCAAAAAACAAGAAAAAATATTCATATAAAAGTAGAAACACTTAGATTTCAAGACGTTAAATATTTATTAAAACAACTTATTTACAATATGTTAAATATTTTTTTGCTCAATTTTGTTGATTTTCTCAACGTCATTTATAGTGATAAAAGAATATCTTAACGAATAGTGTTCTCGAAGAGATGTACACCACTAATTTTTTGCAATTCTTGCTATTTACTTAGATTATAAGCCACAAAAAGTGCAACATTTTACTCTTGAGTTTTTTGGTATTTTACTTTGAGCCTACAAATAAAATAATTTACTAAAAAGTGCCACTAGAAAGTTGTGGGACTGGCAGAATATCCTCCTTTCAGAAAAGGTAATTCCTTAAATATCTCATCAAACTGCAGCGTCTGGAACCTAGTTTTTCATAACAAAAATAATATCGCTGAGGGCTTGCAATAGTGCCGAATAATCCATCTTTATTTTGAGATTCACAATTTCTATACGAAATTTCGTACAAAAAGAGTGAATTGACACTTTTTGACTAAATTTCTATAGAAATTGTTAAAACATTATTCCATCAAGAAAGCGATTAAAGACTCCCAGCGTCAATATACAGTGTGATCTAGAGGAAATGTTATATTTGGCAAAAGGTATATAAATCAGGTTTTGCTGCCTGTAGAAGTTTCTTTGATTTTTTTTCCATTCATTCAATTTGTGGAAAATTTTTTTCGAATTACAGTTGGTGCATTTCCGGGGAGTCTTCATTTATGAAAAAAAAACCCGTCGCGTAGTCAACGAATGCCGAACGAAATTACAAGCGCAAAAAACGTTTTCATCAATTTTCCCGATTATACTCGCGCTGATTAAACCAGATTTTAATTAAACATATTATAAGCCCGTTTTCGAAGTCTATTCATACAAAATTCCAAAGTTCAAACAAAATGGGCATTCGGTTTTATTTCGCTAATAACGTTTTCATTCGCGCGTTCGTTGAAATCCGGGGCGCCGCATCTTTCTCTCTCTCTCTCATTAACGTTACAATTTGTCGTTGTGGAATATTGCATTTTAATGTAATTTAATAATTAGCTCGCATACCGCGTTCGGTAATTGTTTAATTTCGTTCCGAAGAAAAAACGGCGCGGTTCATCAGCGCGCGACTAATTATTCCAAAGGTTTGTATTGACGGTCATCATAATCCCAATAAAGTAAATTAACCACGAAATTTTCTAGTGCCTGGTTAAACGGGGTAAGAAAATTATAATTAACTAGAAATGTTTAATACACTCTTTAAGTACGGCTAAATATTGCGCAAAATACATGCAGTGTGAAAAAAGGAAGCTGCTTTTGAGGCTCTGAGTCAGCGAAAGTGATTTAAAAAGTCAGTGGCGCAAATTTTTCTCGTATAAAAATAGTTGAGATAAGGTAATAGGTAAAAGGAGTGATGATAATTAATTGAAAACGGGTAAGTTGCAATAAAGTCTAGGGTGAATTTCTAAGCTCCAAACGAATAATCAATTAAATATTTTTATTTATATTTATTTGATAAATTCTGTGTTTATTTGACATTAATAAGTACTCATATACAGCGTGTCCCAAGACATGACCGCCTTAGCTTGGGAGGGTGTTAAACTTAACGCTATTTTAACTTAGCTATAAGCATTTGAAATTTTACAGGAACCCCTCTATTTTTTATTTATTTATATCTTATTTTATTAAATTAGTTGTTCAAAATGTTCTTAGAATTGAATTAGTAGCTCTGCTAACAGTTTCAGGATCATCATGAATAATTCTAGCTATCAGTTGTTCTCTGTTTTCAATACTTTCTGCATAAACTAAAGTTTTCGGGCTTCTCCACAAGAAGGAATCTAAGGGATTAAGTCACGTCACTTTGCTGGCCAAGAAACTGCTGAACCCCTTCAAATCCACCGGTTTGTATAATTTTGATTGAGAAATTCTGTTACTTGTGACAAAGTGCGCCATCGTGCTGAACGAAACATCATCCAGTAATGTTGGAAGATCATTTTCAATGATCATTAAATAACGAATGGCCGTGAGACGTTGTTCAATTATAAACGGACCAATGAGGCGGTTATCAAACCGGTAGATTCGAAGAGGTTCAGCAGTTCCTCGACCAGCAAAGTCACCTGACCTTAACCTCTTGGATTATTTTTTATGGGGAAGACTGAAAACTTTAGTTTATGCAGGAAAAATAATAAAATAAGAAAATAAACAATAAATGGGTTTCTTTGAAATGATCTTTAAAATTTCAAAAGCTTGTAGCTCAGTCAGAATGCAGTCCGGGTAAATGCTCATTTAACATTTTGAACCTAAAATAACGTAGCAAAAATCATATCGTTAGTTACTATTAGCCTCTTCTAGTTTACCAGAATACGTTAAGCCTTTTCATAGTTATTGGCATCTATTTCCGAAAATGTTTGAACACCCTCACGATACTTTAAGCGATACAGCAAAGAAAATTAAACAGAAGAGACGTGAATTTGTTTCAGCTTAAAAAAATCACTCTGCGATGAATACAAGAAAAATTTGCAAAACCGGGTTTAACAAACCAAAAAAGCAATTACACCCACTAGGGGTTATTACAGAAACGCGAAAATAATTTCAAGCATTCGCTCTTGCTTAAGAATTTTAATTATCGCAAAGTTGACAAAAGGAGGTATTTTCACTGAAAAAAATTCTATCTATTGGATGTCTCAAAAGACATGCGCCCATGGTGAACTGGTGAATGGTTATCCGGCAAAAAAAAAGAAAAAAGTTCACATAAACGTTGGTCTGGAATTGCTTAGAGTGCGAGATACGAGCTGTTAAATATTATAAAACGTTAATAATTTTTTGCTCGATTTTGTTGAAATTCATTTATATCATTTATAATAGTAGAGCGCTCTCTTAACGAATAGTAGTCTTAAAGAGGTGTAAGCCACTGGGATTTTTGCAATTTTTGCTATTTACTTATATTATAAGCCACTAATAGTGCAACTTTTTTACTCTTGAAATTATTTTGTGTTTTGCTTCGTATGTCCTTACAAAATAAATAATTTTCCATTACAAAAATAATCTCTCTGAAGGGCCACATCCTCTATTTTTGAGATTCACAATTTCTATACTAAATTTCGTGAAAATTTTGTGAATTTAAACTTTTTTACTAAATTTGTTTGTAGAATTCACAAACTTCTTACGAACAAAGATTTACGACTTTTTTTGGCAAATTTGGAAAAAATTGTGCAAATGTGCACACACTTTTTACGAGTTTTTAAAAAACACAATTCCTAACCACATCTTGCAATTGCAACCAAAACCAAAACTCATTAATTGTAAAAAAGTTATTGAGATTGAATTGAAACCAAAAATCTGTGATTCTGAAGTGACCTAGTAAACATATTATTATACTGTATGCGTGTCAAGACTGTTTGTGTACGTTGGTAAAAATTACGAAAATTGTCAAAACATATATTGAAAAAATTAGCAGCAAGAAAATGATGAAAATGTTTTGAGACATTTCATATAAAAGTGAATTCAGTAAAACAAATGGTTAAAATTGATTTTCTAAGAAACGAGTTTTTATACGCAAGCACTTTGTTGCCTCTAAAATCAATATGATTGCTACAACTTTGTCGTTAACCAATTTTTATAAAATTTTGGATATTTGAAGGAAAACCCAGATATACTTTCCCTTTTTTTGCCTATAAAAAAAAATTCAAAGTGAATCCAAATTTAAACGTCGCGACAAACCCCCTTAAACTCAACTCTGATAGACGAGTAATTTGCAATTCCACGTCCCTGCGCGTCCCGTGCACCAAATCGTACACAAAACGACGAATAATATCGTCAACGCGAGCGTAATACACACTCACCCCTCTTTTGCAAATCGTCTCTGGAAATTTGCGTCGCAAGCGTGGGCGCTGGAGGCAGTCCAAGATGGGGCGCCGTAGGGGTGCCCGGATACCAGGCCCACCCGGGGGCTTGCCCGTTGAACATCCGCAATTTGTCGTAAACCGATTCATTTTGCGCCGCGGTTGCCTGCTGTTCTTTTTGCGATGCCAAATTTCGCAACACGCGATTTATGGACGAAACCTGGAACAATAAAAATGGCGCCAATCACGGCACTGCTAACCGAATACATCAGGGTTACAAAATAGTATGATTTATATTTAAGATTCTAAATGAAAAGTTCTTTACAACTATAGCTCACTTCAATCACAAATTTGTGACGAGTGACTGAAGACGTTTGGCGTGTTGCATACTATATTCACTGAGTGAATAAAAATCCGAAAACCGCCGAAGTGGCTCGTGACCAGAAAAAATAATTTTCCGTCCCTGTTCTAATTAAATCCGATAATAATAAATATATTTGTTCTTATTTTTGACTACTTACTCCCCCCCCTCATTATTATTATGTGACTGAGCACAGGGAAATTAATTATACTAATTAATTAATACGCATAGAGTCCAACTATCAGGTAGGTTGTAGTACAAAGTATTAAATAGTTACAGAGGAAAGTCTAGAGAGTGGGAATAGACTGAAATTAATGATTATAGTTAATGGGGCAATAATGTTTTTGCCTTAGTAATAGATTGCGAAAAAAAGTCGAAATAGTGTCGAGCATTGTACTTGGAGCACATTGAGAAAATTAGTGAAAATTTAAAAAAATTAGTGCTTGGAGGGGACAGAAAGAATGTATGTCTAGAATTAATACGGGGAAGCAGAAAATTTTAAATAATATTGCATGCGAAAAGCTTTGTGTGAGATATACTCCGTCCAACTTATACCATGCATACTTCAAAAACTTACGCTGAATTTTTTCCAGGCTGTTAATATGACAATTGTACATACGAGACTAAACTACTAATGCAAACTCCAACTTAAACCTGACGTATGACTTATTTTTATCACTTCTGGTGCAGCCAACGTACGATAAATCCATATCCTAAGTCACAAAAAGTGTTAGAGTGGAAGAGAGTTTAATCAAAAAAATGATAGTCATGTTTCACAGCTGCACTCGTGGTGGTAAAAGGAGACTACATTGACTTGGCTGTATAAAAGTTGCAAGTTTTTATTTAGGAACCAATTGCCGATTTGCTCCAAACTACGCTGAAGAGTAAGACAATCCTTATTAAAAAAATGCGCGTCGTCCGCATATATAAAAAAAACTGACATCAAGGTCATGTCAATGTCATTAACGAATAGTTTGAATAATAATGGCCCTAATATTGAGCTCTGAGGAACGCCCGAGGAAGCAATGTATTCATCGGAAGTGCAGCCACAGAGATGGACTTACTGAGTGCGGTTAGACAAGTATGAAGAAAACAAATTAACAAACGATCCGGAAAATCCAAAGGCTTGTGGATTAGAATTTTTTGATCTAGGCGAACAAACAATTTTGAAAAATCAAGATATATTCGTTGGAGATAGTGAGATAGTCGTTAAATTGGTAATTGATCTTCTTTTAAAAAAACCATGTTGTTGGGGGACTATTTGCTTCTTAACAACAGGAAATATTTGATCATGTAGGAGAGATTCTAAAACTTTACGGAAATTTCCGATAAGTTTACAGTTTTTTTTGTGTACGGGAATAATTTTATACATTTTCACAAACAACAAAAACAAAATGACAGTCATGTCTAAGGAAAGCTGGGATTAAATCTGGACCCATTTTTTCCACTTCATATTCAGAGGACATCTTTATATTTATATTTTTGGAGTGGTGTGAATTACTAATAACATTAAAATTGTTGAGAGAACTCCCGTTATAAAATGACTGTCAGAAACATAATTAATGATCATTTTAATAACAGAATAATTAAAACATACTTATGGCAGCGCCTTTACAAGTATATATGAGTAAAAAAAAATTATTTTAAATGTACATAATTTCATAAAATACCTTTGCCGACCGCACGACTTGAGTTGAAAAGCAGGTCAAGTGGAACGTCCCAGGAAAAGTTCAGGCAGATTAGTAAAAGTCTTTGATGAACACACCAAAAGCGTAAGTCGAAAAAAATTCGCTCATTTTATTTAAAAAAAAAGACCCACTCTAGATAAGATTTTAATGGAGTTTGGCAAGGCTCGCATTTATTCCGTTCATAACTAGAAAAATTTTATTTACCACTTAAATGAATATGGATTTTGCCCGGGAAAAACTTAACTTTGGAACAGAAGAAAATTTTTGTGACAAGAGATAACCAGTTTTCGCCAAGCTTTCATGGAAGGCCTGTTAACGGGTATTAACATAAAAAGAGAGTAATAGTCGTTAGTATTGGAAGCGAAGAGGGATTTTGACAAGCAGGTTTTCTAACCTTTAAGTCATGCCATGCAGAAAATTACCATCAATACATAAGTCCAGATGTTTTTGAAGACTCAAACTTCATCTTGAAGAAAACGAGAAGTTACGCTTAACCACCAAAAATAAATAGACAAACACAGAGTAATTGTGCTGCGCAAACCGTGATGTCGGAATAAGCTAGAGAACTAATATGGGCTAAAGCGATTTGTAGCAAAACACAAGACGACATTCAAAATGAAAGACTATAAGCTACTCTTTGATGAAGCCAAATAGGAAGTGCAATGTACATGTCATTGAAGAAAAGGACAAAATGTGGGAGCTTGGCTACTTCATCCAGCGGACCATAGACCCGTTAATTATAACGTCATTTACTTTCTATATAATGTTAATAGAAGAAATAATAGTACGTAATACTATGTCCAAAATGTCTAATGTTTATTCTGTTAAAATAAAATTATTTCCATTTTACAAGAATCCTAGCGAGATGCATTTGGTACTAACTGCACGCTATAAGAAGAAAGAATTTTGCATTGAACTCAATGCCAAACAATGAAAGTATTCGTTGGGTCACGCTGTAGTTCCTTTATATATCTAATGAGAATTTCTTCATTTACTTCTTTCTACCAGCCATCGACCTGATTCTGACTTTAACGTAGGATACTTTGAAAAGCTTGTATCACGAATAGCAGCTGGATAAAGAGTAAATACATAAATTGTCGCTCCCGCACACGCTCTACATCACTGCTGAAACCAAATTGTCCCATTTGTCAGAGCTTTTTAGTCACGGCTAATAATCTACCCACGAAACGTCGATTTCAGAGGAATTTAGAGTAATTTATTCTCTAATATTACAGTTATGGACGGAGACTAATAGAGATTGTTCTCGAATTTATATTATTCTTGATTTTTATGAAGGATTTTATGGAAAAACAGTTACTGATGTCCAAAGGGCAAATTAGACCTGGTTTAATAGTAAACGGCTCTCTCCACATGTAGATAAAAGTCAAACTAACACTCGAATTTTCACACACCCTAATATCTTGGTACAACTCTGTAACCAATACTATCTTGGCGAAAACATATTAACAAGCTGGTATCTAAATTAAGTCTTTCCAATGGCGTGCCAAGATCTGCCTTTATGACGATGAATGCCACATGAACTGGCAACGTTGCCGATCGAGGCAAACCTTCGGGGGTTATTTTCGTTTAGAAAATATATATATATATAAAATAACTTTGTTTTGTCATTTCCTCGCAATCGCGTTAGAACTATCCGATTGAGAATGTCTGGTGGCGCTCAAACGACCCCATTTACAGGCATTTTCGTCCTTACATTGGCGTTTCCTCTTCACATTCCACTGAACTTGAATCGTTTGACCTATCACGCTTCCCAGTCTTCACCGTTTCCGCTGTCTGTTACCCCCCGTTCGATTATTTATATCAATGATGTAACTGCCCGTGGACTTTTAGCCGAGATGAAAACTTTAGGGGGCACATGATGCGAAACTTTCGCCGACAATATAGAGAATGGGATGGTGTAAGATTGTGTTTACGAGAGATACTTTCACCCTTTTGACAACCAAGTTAACCGCTGAATTTTTGGAAGCAGCAAGTTGATTTATGCGCAGTTATAGTTTTTGATCTGTAAAATTTAAACATTTACTGCCAGATCTGTTTTTTTGACAAATTTAGTAAAATTTGTAAAACGGAAAAAAATTATTTCCAGAGCTACCACCAGTTATAATGGGTGTTTTTGTTTGTTAAGTTGGCATTACTGTTCAAGATGGCGGCCGATTTAACAGCTGTCCAGTGATTTATTCTCAGTTTGGTTTGGCAATTCATCATGAATAGACGCACGCCTGAACAATGCTTGCAAATAGTGGAATCTTATTTCGAAAATAATGGTTCTGTGCGGAATACGTATCGCGCACTACGTCCATTTTGTCGTTGACAAAATCGTCCATCAGAGCAGTTAATTCGATTAACCATGGAACGTTTTCGCACCACGTTTACTCTTATTGATAACTCGCATCCGCAGAGACGCTGTACGGTGCGTACAGATGAAGCTATTGCTGCTGTAGAACGTAGCATTGAGGAAGATCCGAATGAGTCCATCCGCCATCGAGCACAGGAATTGGATCTGTCTCCATCCACTTTATGGGAGATTTTGCGGAAGGGTCTTGGTTTACAAAATCCAACTCGTGGAAGAATTGAAACCAAACGATCATCAAGTAAGGCGTAGATTCGTCGAATGGGCCCAAAACGAGATTGCCGTTGTTCCCGATTTTCATAAGCGAATTTTGTTTGGCGATGAAGCGCACTTCTGGCTGGATGGCCACGTCAACAAACAAAACTGCCGCATTTGGAGCGAAGCTAATCCTCAAGTGTATGTCGAAACATCGTTACATCCAGAAAAACTGACTGTTTGGTGCGCTTTATGGGCTGGTGGAATCATTGGTCCGTACTTCTTCAAAAACGATGATCGCCAGAACGTTACAGTCAATGGTGATTGGTATAGAGCTATGATTACTAACTCTTTCATTCCTGAATTGAATAACCATGATGTCCAGGAGATGTAGTTTCAACAAGACGGCGCAACATGTCACACAGCTCGTGCCACAATCGATTTATTAAAAGACATGTTTGGTGATCGCCTAATTTCACGTTTTGGACCTGTAAATTGGTCTCCAAGATCTTGTGATTTAACACCGCTAGACTACTTTCTGTGGGGCTATGTAAAGTCATTCCAAATGCTTGATCATTTGGAAGACAACATCAAAAGTTAGAACC